CCCACATATACTTACTGCTGCATTTCAACCAGGAGGCTAAAGTTGTCCTTTTCTATCAAATGCTTTTATACTTCAGAAAAGGTGCTTTTTGTCTATTTTGTTTGCCCTAGCCAGGTTTAAATTGTATAACCAGCACTCACTTTCTGGATAGCCACTGGTCTGGCTGACCTTGGCAGCACGACAGCTGTCGTATTTTCACATGGATGAACTGTTCTGGAACAACTTCTCCAATGTATTGGGAACAAACAAGCTTTTCTTCAGCATCAGGAATGCAGCAGGTCTTCTTTCCAACTATTTTTTCTCCTTCCACAGACATATTTATTGTGGCAATGGCAAGAAAATCCTACTGCTAAGCCTTCGTGTTTGAGTTCCTTTAAATTTCCTTCAGAGAGTGAGAGAAAAGCCAACCTTGATCATGTCAGAGCTTGCTTTCTTTAATTTACTTCTGAGTTTATTTTTAATAAACATGGATATTAATTTGTAGTGGCAAGAAAAATTGGAGGGCAAAATCCTTTTACATCTTTATTGCTAGTATTTCCATTTCTGCTGTATTTATTTAATTTAAATCACTGTGGTAGTTAGCAGTGGCAAAGAGTGGGATGCTGCTGGAGAGGGTATTGCACAAAGCCAAAGGGTTTGCTGTGCCATGTATGAGATGGCCAGCGATGAAGTGACCTCCAGATGGTCGCCTGCTTGCTAGATCCTTCAGCTGAACAAGAGGAACCAGAGGATGGAAGGAGCAGGAGCGAGGAGGGAGTTGGTGTCAGGACTTCGCAGTGGTAACGTGGAAAGGCAGCGGGGGCAACCAGGGAACTCAGACTGGGCTGGTGTAAAAGTTCTTCACTGGCAGAAAGGGGAAGGTAATGGTGAAAGGATTTTCGGGAATGCAGCAGTTCTGTTAGAAAAAAAAAATGCTTCATCTCCAAAAAGGATTTTTCTATTGCGTTATGAGAGAGAAGAGAACATCCCTGAAAGAGCCAATAACCCACTTGTTAGAGTTTCTACCTGGCAGACAGAAGTTCAAGTTAATTTTGGGTCTGATTCAGACTGGTGGTTTGTACTTAACTGATGGTTATATTTCTACATTGTTCCTTGCACTTACTAAGAGATTTGTAGTAGTACAGTGCCATGGCATGGATTGACTGCTCATCAGCTTCACTCCTGGAACAGTTTTTGCAGCCTACCCTGAGCTGCGTCTTATCACCCCTAAGTTTAATCTAAAATTAACTGGGTTTCCCCCAAACTTTAGTCCCATACCCTCCAACCATGTCTCTGTCAGATAAGAGGTGAAGCACGGAGTTCTTTGATTTAATCGCAATATAAGTCAGTAAATCCAGGTGCTTTGTAAAAGCTTGCTGGACCTGAGCTGATGTGCGTGGAGCTGGCTTGTGTTTCTTTGCTCCATAGGCACCAATGCTCTTCACACCAGGGATATTAGTAGCCAGGAAGGGAGTAAGAAGATATACTTTGTTTGATTCGTGAAAAAAAATAAACCTTCAGTGGTAGCAATAAGCTTAATTGATGACTGAGTCTTGTGCAGCAGAAGAGCTGGTGTTCAGCAGTCACATGAGTTTGGAGACAGAGGTAAAGTTGAAGATTTTATTGATGGTCCCGTGTTTTGCAGATTTTTTTCATTTTGGGAATGAATTTCAGCCCCCAGTGGTTAGTATTAATGCTATATATCCTCTGTGGTTAGTATTAATGCTATACAGCCCTGCCAAACGGGGAGAAAGTTAGAACTGAAAAAAATAACCCACTGTGAAGAAGTTAGATGGAAACAAACAGGGATGGATGTTTATGCTTACAAAGAGCTCAGCTCCGTTGGCACTTCTCCTGGACCTGTCTTGTCAATCTAAATGTGAAATATTTGCAGAGTGAAGTGTTGCTAATGAGCAAGGCTGGCAGGACCGGGCTCAAGGTGAAGAAGGCACCTGAACAGGCGGCTTAAAGGAAGAACTGAGAGACTGGGCTGAACCCCGTGAATCAGACCACTCCACCCTGCCCTTGTCCTGATCTGTTCCCACCCGCTTTTCTGCCAAAACAGGGGGAGACCGTCAGCCGGTGCACGCCGTGCCAGCGCGGGAGCTGCTCGGCTCTTGCCTAGACAAGTGTGGGATGCTTTTGTGTAGCCAGGGGGACTCCGGCTCTGGCGTGTTCCAAAACAAAGTGCAGCCTATAGTTTGTTTTGTCTTTCAATGGAATAAAAGCACGGAGCTTGGCAGAACGTGTTCTGTAAACTGGTGACTTTTTACTTAAAATGTGGTGAGCGAACTTGGCTGCGTAAGCTTGGTGTCTTGAAAGTTCTTCTGAAAATACTGTTAGTTTTTCAAGTTAATTTTTTTTTTCTGGAGTTGGTTTAATTCAAAGGAAGTTTTGTTTGCTTGCTTGCCTGAGGTTTTTAGGTAGGTTTAAATAGATGAGCTTCACTTCTTCTGCAGTTTCTTTTGGTGAAACTTCTGTAGAATTTGGGGGAGATAGCACAGTGCAAAGGGAGTTAGACTTCGAAACTTTGGGTTAGAGTCTGCAAAAGCCAACTCTGGTATTTCATAGTGATTTTCCAGGCCTTTGAGCTGACATGAGCTCAGACTTTGTAAGAGGAGAGAAGGCCCACTGTTTCTCTGGAGAGCTTCACAAGGAGCTTTCCATCTCTTTTGGGGCCCTTGAGTCAACCTGCAAATCCCCGTTGCCCAGCGCTCTTGTGTGCTGTGTAAAGCCAGGCTGGCAAGAAGCTTCCCACGTTTGTGTGGCTGACGCTGTCTTTCAGCACAGATATTTTTCACTATTCCATGTCCCAGCTCTGCTCCGGGCCGAGGCGTTGCTCCAGGGCCGCAGCAGACCGAGTGGGCAGCTGCTGGGCCCGGTGCTTGGCGAAGCCGCCAAAAATCCCCCGGCAAACCCAGGGCAGCGCCGGCTTCTCCCCAAAGAGTAAGTGGCTCGGAGAGGCTTTGCCACATAAGGGCCTGTTCGAGGCTGTAGGCACCAGCTGACAGGGATGTCTTTGCCTCCCAACAGATGGCCGGGCTTTTTATTTCAGCAAGCAATCTCACACAGAGGGGTGGTCTCTGGATCCTGCCAGCATTTTGCATGACAGGGCCAGCTTAGGGCAAGAGGGATCTGATGTCCGTGCCCTTCATAGCTCATGAGCTAAATGACGAGCTGTTGACAGGAAAGCCATCATCTGAAGTGTAAGATCCTGAACTCTCCTCGCTTTTCGTTTTTCTTTGGCGGAATTAATGCCCTATTTGCTTGTCTCTCAAAATCCATTCTGGCACGAGTACAAACCCTCGCCTGGTGGCAAGCAGTTGTCTGGATTCGAGATGCCAAGATTTGTGCTGACAGCTCCTTCTACACAATCTGAGTCAGGCTGTCACAGCTGGCCATTAGAGGCTTAAAAAGACACACACATGTACAACAAATAGCACCAACTTTCCATTATTGAATATCAGAACCTGCTTGATGAGAAAACGTAATGCCTTACGCTGTTTTTTATGTTAGTGTAAACAAACACAGTGTCTCTAAACCCCTGTTCAATGTGGAGGCTGTTTATTTTATGTTGATTGCTTGCTCTTATTTAGGAGCACGGGTCTAGAAGGGGCTTCCTGGGGCAGGAGATCCAGTCCTTGATAATCCCAAGCATCACTTCTTATAGTCCTCCTCATTACCTTACTTTTCTTTAATGAAAACAGTCCTTTGTAGTTTCTATTTGTCCTTGCAGCCATTTGCCTAGTATAATTTTCTTGGCATGGAGGAACAAGCACCAAAACTTTCCTCGTTGAGAGGCAGGATCAGAACTAGAGTCGGGTAAAGAATGCTTCTCATCAAACAGGGTTTTTCTGAAACTGTTTACCCTGCAGTTTTGCCTTTCTTGGTGGCAGTGAGTGCAAATTCTGCTGACCTAGCATTCGGTTTGGGTGCTAAAAGACGGATGCTTACAAAAGTTAAGTTTCTGATTTAAAGCAAGACAGGATCAAACAATTCCCCGCCCCGCTTTCTGCATATGGAGACAGGTCAGATTAGCTTCTGCTTAGTCAACTGATGGTTATTGCAAGTGTAATGCTGCTCTGGCTGTTGTGCTAGGTTTTAAAGTTACTGTAGGATTAAATTTTGCATGGCTGAGCTTTAGTAGACCTTAGTCTGTAGTTTATTTTGGACAAAAGATTGATAAACTTTGGCTCTCGGGGAGGAAGCCTGGAATCTGAGACCCACTATTATTCATTGACTTGTCTTTATGAGTTTACAGTCCACTGATGCGTAACACTGAAGGAAATATTTTCAGTGAAATGTTTGCTTTTTTCTTTGGCTTTGTAAAATGCAATGTCTTTTCTTAGAGATATATGTCAGGGACGTATAGCTACTTCAGTGAACTGTGTATGGTCAGGAAATAGACTGCACTGAAAATATTTCAATTTTCTGTGAAGTCAGTCTTTTAACCAAGACTTCCCCCCTTCTCCTCTCAGGGTTTTGGTCTCCCACTAACTGCTATTTGAGCATTAATTTTATGCACAAATTGGGTTTAATTGTGGAAGGGAGATTTCAACCGTATGGAACATTTTCAGTATTTTTGTATTAAATCAAAATTTGCACACGACAGCAAACTTGTAAAACAAAACCCCATTTATACATAAGAGAATTTTCTTGGCTGGCATTTTTCTGTCCTCTTTTTGCTGTGCTGAAATATGTGTCTCTTACTTCCTCACTGCTATGGATGGCACAGGCTGGCCATTAGCCTGGTAGAGGGACTGACTCTGCAAACTTTAATGGCACTGACACAACAGATCTATTAATTTAATGCTTAAATGTTTAGGACATTGTTACGTGTTTTGCTTGATTGGGGCCGATGCAAGCTCCACTCTCTCTTTGGATGGTCAGTGGGATGACTTGTGGGATGACTTGGGAATACAAGTAGAAATAAGGCTTTGTTGGACCAAATTTATGGATGTTACCTAGTACTACTGCACACTGTTTATAAGCCATTAATGTCCGTTTCTCTTTCTCCACAGGTTCTTCTTGAAATTTTTCCTCAAATGTAACCAAAATTGCCTAAAAAATGCAGGAAACCCTCGAGACATGCGTCGATTCCAGGTCAGTCGGACACGCTTCCTCCTTTAAAAATCAGCAGCTGTTAGGGACAGAAGTACTTTGACCCAAACTAACCTAGTAATTCAGTGGAAGATGCTAAAAACATAAGGTCACAGAATATTGCCTGAGGACTTCTTGTCACAGCAGAATTGGCAGGAAGCAGTTGGGTTTTCTTGCTCTGGACAAGAGAACTCTTGAAGATAATGTCACCTCCACGGGAAGTGAAAGTATGAAAAGGAAAAATCAAAATGACCTTACTTTTGTATTAGGTTATGGGGCTGCCCTGCTCTGAGATATTCCCTTCTGTCTGGGGAACTATTTGCCTTCATGTAAACACTAAGTGAGCACTGTGTTTATTGGAAGGGGCAGAGGAGGGTGTAAGAGCAATTAATAAAATCAGGCTCATGACTACACTTCAGCAGTTATTCTTCAGCAGTGTTAAAGACTCATAAACTTGCATCAATGGGATAAAGGTCCATTCCTGTAATCAGCACTTGGAAAAAAATTGTCATTGGGTTTATCTTTCTTGGGATGTTTGGGGCTGGTATTTTCCTGCTGTTGCAGCATGTGGCAGTGGGGCTTGAGAACCGTAGTATCAGCACATCTTCAGATGGCCAAGGTAATTTTTTTATGCTGTACTTATGTCCACAACTACTTTTGTGATTAAGTCCAGCACTGTCCCTTTGGAAGGTGGTCTGCACTTGCCTTCCCCCGTACTGGCAGCAGAGTCCCAGGGAAAAAACATAATAGAGTCTGTCAGTGGGGATTTGCCTCAGGGTTCTGAGGAAGAAATAGGAGATTTGTCTGGGGAGACTGCATGGGTCTTTGGAAGAAGACAACTCCAAAAGATGGCTGCTTTCTGCAGTAGCTCAGAACCTTGTTTGCTTCTATTCCAGCATTGTCGTACCTTAGTAAAAGTGCTAAATGCTATGTAAATGGCAATATTATTTATATGTAGCACATATGTCTTTTGTTGAAGTGCTTAATTGCAACAGTGCTGGAAGGCAGAAGGGTGTTATTTGCCCCTCCAAGCATAGAAGTGCAGAATTGAGGAGATGTGGCCACAGGGATTAAATTAATCAGTATAAGAGCTAGGATTAGCATGGCAGAGCCCTTGGCTTCTCACCCCACACGCCTCTCTCCGTCACATTTCTCCTGTGATTCAAGAGGGCATTATCGCTGAAGGAGAAAGTGGAAAAAGGACTCTCACCAGCACAGGGATTTAGGCCAAGCAGTCACCCCTGGGGCCTGTCAGAGCTTGCTTCACAACATGTACACTCTGCTGGGTTTGCGCTCGTCCAGGCTCGAGGCTGATTTTCATATGGTAATGCCTTTGCGTGTTCTCTCAGAACAGCAATCAGGAGCCTGTGTCGGCGAGTAGGTAGGACATAGGAAAGGTTGTTGATCTCTTGACTCGTAAAGACATTCTGTCATACAAACCCAGCTTCACAGCAGTTGAGCTTTCCGTGTGTAAACAGAGACTGCTTAATTACACAGGTCATGTCAATTAGTGTGACCTTAGCATTTTCAAGAAATTAATCACTTTCAGCCGAGTGAACCACTCATACTATAATACTGGGTGGTATTGAAGCTTGCAGCATTCTGTTGAGTGCCCAGGCTTATTGTTTTACAGTAGCTGCTTTTGTTTCTTCTTTTTTTGTGTGTGTGTTTTTGTTTTAATTTTGAACTTGTTGCTCTTTTAGTAATAGACTTAAAATAAAACAGTCGGACTCTACAGATTCCAGGCATAATTTATAATTTATTAGGGTGAAAAGGACCAAGCATACACATAGTATCTCAATGATAGGATGGTCCTAGATGTTTGAGACAAATGTTGTACAGGAACCAATGAAATCTGGGCCCCTGTGAAGTCAGTGGAGGGTTTGCTGTTGGCTGTCTTTGAAATATTGCCAGTGACTTACAAGGTTTCTAATAGTTATGTCAAAGTTCTGGTTAAAAAACCATAAGAGTAAAGTATTTCCAGATATTTTTTTAAATAGTAGCATACTCTTTTCATAAAGAAAAAAATAAAATATGGACACTTTCCCTTCCTTCATTCCACTATCTGTGCTGGACTGTTAAGCTGCCCAGAGCTTTCTCCATCTTTTGGCTGTGGTCTCTCATTCATCAGTCCCCAAAAGTTGCTAGAAGTTATTAGAAGGCAGATTATGGTTTTGGTGGGACCAACAGTGAAGGGCCAGGGACACAAGTCTTGCATTATCTAAGGACAGGACCTGCAGAAAATTTCCTTTCTTGGTAGGTTTGGTGGTTTTGTTTGTTTTGTTTTTATTTTCCAGCAGCAGGGAATTATCTGATTATCATCTGGTGTAAGAGAGGTTAAAAAAGTACAGGAAAGAGGCAGAATATGTGTCGATTTGGGCAACCTCTGTGTGAAACCTCATTCAGACTCACATATAGAAACAAATTAGGAAGTTTTATCCTGAATATCGCACGCAAATGTAATAATGTAACAAGACTAGCATAAAAGCAGTTGCGAGCCTGGAAGGAAATACATTTCTCTGCATGTCTGAGGTGTCCAGGCGTGTGACAACTGAAGCGGTGTCAAGTGCCAGCAAAAGTGTGTGCTTGGAGCAGTGTTGGCTCTGGCTGTGTTAGCTGTGACTCTATTAGCAGAAGGAGACAGTCAGAGAGAAGTCCAGTACTATGCAGGGACTCAGGATAGTTAAGTGTTCAACTGTGCTACAGCCTCCCTGCTTGTCCTTAAGAAAATAATTTCATCTCTCTGTGTTTCATCAGCCCAATTGCATAAAACATTTGGTGATATCACGTATTGTCACCTTTGTCCAATCTTGCCTTTTTCTTCCAGAAACCCCATGGAGCAGATGCTCAATCTGGTTTTGCATTCTTCATCACAATAAGTCATCAGTCTTGGTGGGATGGGCTGTAGTGACCCAATAAGTGGTGGTGGTAGTAATAATAACAATGGTAATAATAATAATAATAATAATAATATGGTATAATGGGTGAACTCTGCTCAAATTTTCAGCACTAAAAACTCATTCATACAAACTAAACAGTTTAGTATGTTATTGTAATTAATGAAACCCAGGTGCTCTAGTTATCTTGTTGTTCTTGTTTTAGCACAACTGCTTGCAAACTGACACATGTCAAGTTTTAATCTAGAGGAAACTTTTCATACTGAGTCACTGCATAAAACCCCAAACATTCGTTTATTATGAAAACCTTGAAAGTCACTTGGAAATTGCCATGCTGTTTGATTCTGTTACCACAACCTCTTCCTCAGCCTAGGCTGCTAGTTTGCCTCCATGGGACGCTGCCACTCATGTTTGAATTGAAGCCACTTGTGTCTTATTGCAAATTTGCATAAGAGACAGAAATGATGCTTCATGAATCCCAGATAATGGAATTTGGACATGCAAGGCTCCATCCCTAGAGAAGGGAAAGGCAAAAAAAAAAAAAAAGGCTGAAAAATAGCAATGAGAGCTGTAGTCCAATTCAACAAGGTAATTAAGTGCCCGGCCTGTCCTCAAGCACGTGAGCAAAATTACTGAATGTATTGTACTTATGTGCTTTAAGTTAGGCACCTTTTTAAGTGTCTTGTTAAATGGAGAGTGATTTTTAGTTACTAGAATAAAGAAGTCAACGCATTGTAGAAAGAGGTCACCAAGTGGTGATGAAAATAAAGACATTGCCGTTTGTGCATTTCTGCATAGCTTTCAAAGAGCAGCAAACACAGGAGCTACAGGTTTAACACTAATGACACACTTCAGAACTGGAAATCATCTTAATCAGATTTTCTCTGCCTTTGCCACTGGATGTTGGGGACATCACAAAAATGTCAGATCCCTCACCATACATCAGAGAAAATGAAAAGCACAAGGAACATGCTATGTCTTAATCAGTTAGCAAAGCTTAATGGGCTGTGGTTAAAAATGAGGAGTCATGCAATGCTTAATTTTGATATATTAGGTGAGGTACTATAACAAATAAACAGGCCGAGTGCTAAACGTGGATAAATAGCTTGATCTCCAGGCTCCTGGTCTCTGAATATTTTTATTGTTTTTTTAAACTAAGCTCCAAAGTATTCACAAAATGAACTATTTAATGGCAGGCAGAATAATTCACAGAGCCACGATACGTTAATGCGGTTGATAGTGCCAACTTCATTGAAGAAAGTTGTAAACCCATGTGTTTCTTTCATACCTCTGTCTCCCCTGGTGTTGATACAGGATTTAAATTCAAAATCTATGAAGGGCTAAAGCTAAAGCTCAAAATCATTTTCCGTGTTTGCCTGTCCCAAATTAAAACTGTGTTTTGTTGACAAAATTTGGAAAGGTTTGAGATTTGGCAGGCCTGGTTGTCCCTGTGCTTACATTAATGTGTCAGCACCTCATTAATCATTTATTAAACTGTAGAGTGCCTTTCCCTCTTGCTATGGTCTGTGTTTTAGGATGCCTCAGTGCCCATTCCACGTATACTTTGGCTCTCCCCTCCCCCTAATTTTATGATTTCTCCACAAATTAGTTTTAGCATGTGCTTTAGCTTGAACATATCCCAGTCATTTCAAAATCAAAATGAGGAGAGTGTAGTATTTTTTTAGATTAAAAAATACGAGTAGAACTTGTAAGTATGTAAGTGCTCTGTAGCAATCCAAGTATGTAACTGTGGCACACAATATTCAAGGTATATTTTTTCTCTCTTAATAACTAAGGGTATTAATATTTTGTTAGTGCAGTGTATGTTCAGTATTCTGATATTAATGAGATTTTGTGTTTCAAGAAATAAGCAGTAAGCGTGTGCTGCTTCTTACAGGTGCACTATGAATAATCATTTTTTTTCAGACAGATACATAAAGTAACCACTTTTTTTGTCTGCATTTCCTGAGACTGGAAACAGTTTCTCTTGGGGATTCCTTTTATAGTTCCTTCTGCTAACGACACCAAAGAACCACACCAATGTGGTCTCTTTTGTAGTAAATCAAACTCTGTTCAGGAGGTAGGTAGGAAGACACTGTTAAGTAATTCAAAATGTGTTGCATCAACAGTTTTGGAAACCTAAAGGTATGGGGGCGGAATTAAATGTAGATTTATTCACATAAAACTGACCTCACTAGGATTGTTCCCTTGAGTTTCTTCCTAGAAAGGTGCACATATTAAGGCAACTACTTATACCTTTTGCACAGGATTGAGACCTAACTTGCTATTATTCCCCTTGACCCATTATTTTTCTGAAATCCTGTTTCTGGAAACATTCAAAAGTTTTGGTTTCAGCATAGGATTGATCAGCTTCAGTGGGAAATCTGTGTGTATCTATATGGTTTTAGGATTGGGGAAAATATTTTACGTTGTAGCCATTGTCATTAATTGCAATAGTGTTAATTTTCATATGCATCTAGGCAGACCCATAGAAGATAAGGAGCTGGCATAAATTGTGGAGCTGTGACAGGCAATGGCAGCTAAGGATTTGGCTCAAAATCCCAGTTGCAAAGAATTTACAATGGTTGCAAGTGCACAAATAAGATTGCAAACCCTGAGCCACTTACTATAAGATCATATTTTATTGAAAATATCATAAACTTTATTCTATCCCTCAGGAATGCAATGGGTAAATTACTTTTGAAATCCCTTTTGGAATTTTATATATAGGGCTTGGGTGTTTTTTTTTTCCCCTTAGTTTGATTTCAGAAAAACTTACCTACAGTGTTTGGCGATTTCTTTTTCCCAAATTTCCATCTGTAAGAGCTCTTGAATCATTTATTCTGTATTTTAATATCTTTCACTTAAAACACGCACAAAAAAAATTCTATTGTCTGGAATGCCATTCTGAGGGACGGTTTTAGGATCCTTTAAATGTAAGCTATTCTCTTTTGTATTACTCTTTCTAAAGACAGAGACTTTAGGATTAGCTATGGGCAATTTAGCAGCATCACTTAACTTTGTATTTTTGAGCATTTTAATCGCTGGCCAGAAATAGGTGAAAAAAATTTTCTTTAACTTTTTTTTTAGATTCAATTCAAGTGATGAAATTGAATTGTTGTAAGCGATCCTTTAAATGTCCCCATTTGACCAACTTTGAGAGGCAGCAGCTTCCTGAGAGAGTTGAAGCAATGTTTGCCAATCCTTGTAAAGCATTTCACCTCTTCAGAGGCTAAAGCCTCTCAAAACCAAGAACAATTAAAGCGAGAGCCTTTCAGAGCGACTGGGGAATTCAGCAAAATAAATCAGAAATCCTCTGCCGTGGCTCTGGAGGCTTGCCTCATTATAAGAGCAGATCTATTAGCCCCCTTGCCATTGTCTTTCATTTCTCAAGTGAGGTGATTCTAATTAAATTAATCTGCATGTCAATCTATCGGTGATCAATCAAAAGGGCTGAGGTCCCCCTTTGCGGCAGTGTGCTTGCGGCTGACAGGGGCTGATAATGGAGGAAGAAATAAACTGTCGAGCAAAGTTAATTAGTCAACATAATAGGTGGATTAAACAGGAGCTGCTGATTGCTGTTTCACATGTCGAAGCATGAGGTGGGAGCTGAAACTGCAATTAACAGACAATTATTATATTTGGTTGTAAGAGGTCGCATGAATAAACATATCTCTGTGGGTTTCAGTTTTTAATCCCTTTCCCTGTTTAATGTAAGGAGAAGTGTAGGTCATTTCTTCTTATTGTTTTAGTCAAAGTTCTCAAAGGCGACGCGTGCTCCTGGCAAACCAGCAGCCAGCTGAAGGCCAAATCTTTGCTGGGGTAAAACCCTGGGAATGCTGTACTTTGTTGGGAAGAGGCTGTGGGAGGGGGTGGCTGATTGAAAGCCAGGGAGGTGATGAGGTGGGATGGGAGGACACACAGAGTGATGAGCTCACAGCTCTGCCGGGGACTTGCCGCATGCATCCCCCCTTTTCCTCCACAATGGTTTGTGGCTCAGGTTCCCTTGGCCTGAATGGGGATTTCCTATAGGATAGTGCCTGCTGAGCCTCACGGTTGAGAGGTCTCTCTGGACATCTCTGAGCAGTTGGGTCTTCTACTCTGGAGTCAACAGCCATTTGCCCCTGCTGGGTTGGCTTCTCTCTTACCCTGGGCTACTCTGGGGAGCAGAAGCATCAGATCTTGCCTCCAGGGCAGCGCTGCTCTGTCTCTTTCCCCTCACGTCAAACCAAATCCCAGCTGTTGACATTGAGATAAGTTGAGAAATACAAATAATTCTAACGCTGGATGAATAGGGTTGTGTTCTCTAGATCAAGACCCCACTGTCAAGCATGTGTGTGTACACAAACATACCTATATGTACTCGCTGAGATAGATCTCGGGAGAAATTTGGGCAAGTTCAACAACCTGTAGTGACTGTACCAAGGGGAGAACAGTAGAGAAGGGTGAAGGGAGGCAGGCAACAACGCACATTGCAACTTCACAAAGTACACTTTTGTTTTCTTTTATTCTGAATCGATTCTCATTTGCAATGTCAACAGCTCTATCTACTTCAGCATGGAAACTGAAGGATAATTTAGGGTGAAACACAGCTGCCCTTGTATATAGGGGAAAAAATACTTAATAAAGATCCTCTTGTTAAAATGATGGTTAACAGTGTGCCGTCTGCCATGCAGCTACAAACTCTGCAATTTAACTTAAAACTGCATCAAAAGCTTGTGATGCCAAAGACCCACTCATCAATAGCGTCTCTTGTTAGATTTGTACAGCATAAGCACCAGTTATTATGCGAAATAGCTATGCAATTTTCTACAGCTCCCAGCTGTTATTTATTTAACTGAGTTTATTACACTCTGTGCTTCTTAAAAAACATACATATATATCCACATTTTCCTCCATTTTGCTCTTGTGCTTGCAGGTTGTGGTGTCTACAACAGTCAATGTTGATGGCCATGTGTTGGCAGTGTCGGACAATATGTTTGTACACAACAATTCCAAGCATGGGCGGAGAGCTCGAAGACTCGATCCCTCGGAAGGTACGCCTTCTTATCTGGAACATGGTAGGCATATAATTTTCATTGGTTGGCATTGCTACTTTAAATGTGGATTTACTTGGTTTGTGTCTCTGGCTACTGGTTACAAATTGTCCCGTAACAGTTTATACCTTTGGGACTGGATATTTTAAAGACTGGCCTCCAGACCAAAGGGGGAATTTTTCAAGTAGGTGAAATGACAAACCAGAAGGCAAACATGGGTGCAGAGTCTGTCCTGTGTGACAGTGAAGTGTGGTGATTTCTTTTTCTTTTTTTTTTTTTTTTTATTGCATCTATTCAGCACCCAAACTTTGGAATTTGATCTTTTCCAAATTGCCTTGGGTTTTGACTGTGCATCTAAAGGATGTTGCATATTTCCTGAAGTGCTCAGCACCCAAATTTCGGGTTGGATTTCTTCTATCTATAGAGTGCTGAGCTCTCTAGGAGATCCATCTGCTCCTTTGAATTGCCCTAAATGAAAGCAGAGCCCTTTTGGAAATCCATCTGCTTACTCAAGCCATGGACGAATGTTCTTTTCTGGCTCCAGCTGTGCCAGCTGAGGAAGTTGCTCTTCCCTGCGTGCCACAGCTGCTTGTCTCTCCTCCCTGCTGCAGGCTATTCTCCACCATGGACATGCCAGCTAAGATAGCTGTCTGATTGCTCCCAAGTCTCCTTCAGTCCAAAGAAGTTCATTTGAGTTAAACTGTTTAAATAATAACTCTTTGCCAATCTAGCTTATTTTGCTGAAATGATTGAAGGAGAAATGGTGCAAGGCAATTTGTCAGGCTTTTCTGAAAAGACAGTAAACCCCAGCAAGGGTGGAATGGGGGCACGTGGCTTGAAGCAGCCTGGGGGACAGTAATCTTTTCCGTAAGATCAGCTGGTCCTGGAAGAGAACATCTGCTGGTGAGTGTAGGTGCTTAAAATGGGAGTTGTTGAGTGCAAATGTACTTTGAAAAATCTGGATTTGATTAATGTTTTGTTTTGCTCTTTGTCCTCAAAGTTGATGACTACTACTGAAAAACAAAACAAAAACAGAGGGCATTTCACTCCCATCTCCCTGTTCCAGCTTGGTAAAATAGCTCTTTGTCTTCAAAGCTGTTTGTAATCCTAGGTTCAATAGGTGCCTGCTCCCTCTAAGAGATGTGTACCCTCAGCTTCCATTGAAGTAGTGGAGTGTAGAAGGCACCATCCTTTATGCTGGTTTGTTTCACAAATATTTGCCAACGATCTGATGAATAATTAAATAGATTTTTCCAAAGAGTTTGAAGAAACCAGATAAAATTTTCTCTGGGAAAGTGAATGCCACTCAGAAAAATGTTAACTAGATGTGTTAAAAGAAATTATTAATACTGAGAAATGGGCAAATGTGTGGGTTTCTGCTACTCAGTGGATTTCTGTGGAAATAACTTTCTATTCTGTTTATGCTTTCAAGCATCATTCCTGCAAGCACTTATGCATATATTTAAGATTATGCACACATATGGTCCTGTTGGGATCAATGAGGCTTCTTGTGTCAGTAAAGTTGAGGGTATTGATAAGTGTTTGCAGAATCGGGTCTGTAGTTCACACTTACCAACCTAAAATTCTTAGCTCAGCAGCGTTTCTCATTATATAAACATAACTTACATCTGTATTTATTTAGCTCTAACTTTTTATGTAGGCTATGAGCCGTTTTCAGCTATAATTCATGTTATAGAATTTTTTTTTCATCCTGCCAAAAACCTAATTTAATAAACAAACCACTGTCATAATTTTTGCTGAATTTTTTTAAGGAATGTACGAACTCTGTCTTTATTAATTAGCAGAAGGCAGAACATTACAAAAGGAAACTTTTCTCTGTTTAACTTTTAAATCTTTGCATTAAGTCTAGTCTTTGAAAAAACCACTCCTACTTTCAATTATATCCCCACTAAAGTAGATGCCATCTTCCCCCCCCTCCCCTAACTCCATTGCAGTCTTCTCAGTGCATGCTTTTGGTCAAGGCAATACTTACTTTCTTATACATAAATGTTCTTATTTGCATGCAGAGTGTAATAGCATCGCGTTTTACCACAGCTATTGTTCCCGCTTCTACCACCTGAGGGATTCTGTTAGCAAAAAGAAACAAAAAAAGATAATGCTGTGCTTACCTAACTACACAAACCCTAGTTACTGTGCTAACATTAAAAGTCAGCATGTGCAAAATATCTCCATGTGTACTTTTTTGTGGGAAAGGTGATTTTTTTTCTAATCTACTTTCTCAGGCACCTCTCAAGTAACCTCATAAAGCAACCGCTAGTAAATTCTTACTTTTGGATAGCAACCTCCACGCTACAAAATTGCACTCTTCCCAAAGGCTCGGTGGAGCCTTTCTTTTTAACCTAAATCCTTCAATCCATCTCTCCAGGAATTCTGTGCACATTTGGGTCCAAGAGACAGGGAAAAAATAATTTTAAAAATCCAGTAACTGTTTTACTGTTGGTATTAGATGTCTAAAACACTTAACTGAGTGAAAAAAAAATAGGAAAAGTCTCAACTGGGCTTAATGCTATTGAATTTTGGGCAACCACCATGAACCTCAGACCCGTAGGAACACATGACAGTTTCCTCCACTGAAATTAATTTTTAGTTTGAATCCTAAAGTATGTTATTTTTCTACAGTTTTTGGAATTTTCATCTTGGATAATATCTTCAAGTTTAAGTAACAAAGACAGTTTGTTTGTATTTGCTCTTTCCAGTTTTTCTTCTGGGAAAGGGCAGATTGACCGTAACAGTATCTGTAAATGGTGAAATGGGAAGCCAATGTAGACATGGCTATTTTGTCTCTGATTTATTGTTCTGGTGAGCAACTTCTGATCATAGGTTTTTAAGCACTGTGATCTATACTATAACATGGCAAATGACCAATTGTATTCCCATGTATACTTTTGTAGATCTTTAACACAAATACCCAATTGCAATAGAGATGAATGCCTGGCTGTGTGAGGACTTGGGAAAGGGGAGAGAGGATGTAGCAAGAAAGTGTGCTGGTTGCCTAGTTTAGTTAGACAATATCCAGCTTATTTTTCCTTACAAAGTTGTGTTGGGACATGCTGCTCTTAAACATGGAGTTGCAGAGACTTTGGGTGCCAAAAAGCTGGAAAGCCTTACCTCCTGAGCCACCCAGGAGCCTGGTGTGTCCACATTTGGATTTTACCATCTCATTAGCAGGTAGCCTGGATTATTTTTGGCAAGTCCAACACATCTCTATTTTTGTCTTGCTTGTCAGACAGTAAAATGAAAGTTCCTTTTCGTAGCTCGTCTCTTTGAATATAACTAGGATCCTAGATCCTGGTTTTGTATCCACACACTGTCCTCCTTGAAACCAGCGGGTTAAGAAGCTCGTATTTCAAATAAATATATGTATCTTTCAAAAGTAATAGCTGGCAGAGGCCAATTATTTCATACATCTCTGTGTGGTATAAATAGGGTTAGCCACAGCAATCTGTGGTTTTCAATAATTATCACTTTTTCATTCACAAATAGTTGAATCCTCACTTGTTTTATATTTATGGTAAACCAGAAAACCGGTGTGGTTGACCTTTCTAAATTGTACATATATAGTAAGATGTATAGTGAAGAGCCAATAGGCCCCAACCAGGAGAATATATTTCAGCATGTAGTTCATCCCAGGGTGTCAATTTTAAAAGCAAAATCTTTCCATTGCAATTTAAGTGACTAGCTTGTGGAAGGGGGAAATTCTGGCAGGGATTGCAACAACCCTTTTCAAGTTTACCAGCATGAAGTCCACCGCTGCCGACGTCTGCAAAGTTTCCAGTTAAAACTCTCATATCGCTGCAAAGTAAAAATTCTTTTTTTCCCCCAAATCTTTGAATGGCTTTACAAGAATGTAAAGCCAATTGCAGCATCAGTTTCTCTATTATTTTTCCTCACTGGCAGAATACAATGCCCTCGAAAAATGATAGTCCCTGAGACCCTGTCAGTTTGCATGCTCTAACACTTTATTATCTAATGATCTAATATGCAACAAGGCAAAGAGGGGGTGCTTATCACCCTGACAGGATGCCTAAGAGAAGTGACTAAATTACTTTATGTACCATTAGCGCTAGCTGCCACGGTGAACTCACTGTGAGCATTTATGCAAATATTCCTGAATACATTCAAGTGGCCTTGTCAGGAAGACGACTGACAAGCAGCTTAAATGCTTGGCTTTTTAAAGGGACAGTTTTATTTCTTTTTCTTTTCCTTCCTCCTCTTCCTCCTCCTCCATAGGAGAGTGCTGAAGAATTAGGTGATGGTGAGGTTTGCTGACGATTTGGTTCTAAGCCAGCTCAACAGCAGCAAAAGATGAAAGATGAAGGGTAGAAATAGAGGAAATTGTAAGACATGGTGTCAGAATTTGCAGATGGAAGCAGAGACAACCATGGTTTCTAAAGCAATATCCTACCATTATTTTAATATGAAATATACATAAATTTGTGTGTGTATATATAAATCTCTCTAAAATAGGTCATTATATAGTAAAACCATTATTAGTGGCTGCTTCATACCAGAAATGATAGTGCATGGCTGGATTATCTGATCACTCTATTGTAGTTCCTGGGATAGTCAAGCTTTTACAATGTTGTTTTAGTTCATGATAATAATGAGTGATTCAGACCATTTGCTGTGTGCAGATGCAAAACCTCCAACAATAAATGAAGAATAGTAGTTGCTGTGCCTCAGCTGGATATGTCAAGTAGATCCTCTCATCAGCAGTGGGGCATCTAAAGAACTTTTCTTGCCAATCCTGCCCATCCTGGGCAATTTGAAAGCCTGTAGTCACCACAGTAAGCACATTCACAAATTTTGCACTAAATCTTCAGATTTGAAAGCAAATACGATTTCTAGGCTGTGTCTTAGTTGACTAGAGATTTTCTATTTAGATTAATAAGAAGGAATTTTTTTCCCTGCCTTAAACTATTTTGAGAGGGTAATCTTTAAAACAAATTTTTGATACTGACTGCCTCTAAGTCTAATCT